TTCCAATCGCTGGATTTATGCTCTGAAAATTTCGTGGGTTTCGGAATTCGGATTTTGGGAACGTGTTCATCTTGAATTACACATCACTCATTTCCATTTCATTCATATCTAGTAATATTTGTTATTTATCATCCAGGCGATAATAAATGGATAAATCATTACACAGTAGCAGCACGTTGGGTTTCGTTTCTATGCACGCTGTGAATAAAAATTTTGCAATTTCATCACTCTCGCGTCGTATTTCGTCATTACCGTTGCATTGTCTTCCGTTTATGATTGTCCTTCAATCCCAGGATTGATTAATGACCGAGGTTTTGCAAGATCTGATCAATGCCCTGATCAATTTCATTTTTCTTGTCACACACAACGAATTGCACTCTCACCCTTATTAGTTCTGTTGTTTGTAAAAAAACCAAATGAACTGCAGAATGCTTCAGTGGATCCAGGATGACGCGTATGGCCTAAAGTTGAGCGATTTCTACAGGTGTCGTAAATGTCTGCTCCGTATTGAACTGATGTAACAGGTAACAAAAATATCGAGTGTAAAAAAATTAAATTCTCATGCAGGATTGTGATTGTCATTTGGTGATTTTCGTTGACTGTTGTTTGGTGAAATTTCGATATGTGTTGATTTAGTGCCTATAAACTTAATTATATTAGTTGTAATGTAAATGAAGTTTCGTATAAGTGTGGGATATATAACGATTAAATCTATATCTGTCATCAGACATGATATAAAACATCAGCAAGAAACAAACAAAACATCCATTATCGCCCAATCCGGTTCCTTGATATTCATCCATTTTCGATGTCACTAAGATTTTGTGACCTCGTTGCAGAGATTCCTCCTTCCTTTACGTGTTCCTGTTGTGCTCAATCCCGTTCACGTCCCGTTTTCAATCGGAACTGATGTTTTTTCCCTTGAAAATACTTTACCTTGATCTTACTTTTTTCGGTTCTTGTCATTTTCGGACTAACACTATTGTCGATGAAGCATGTTTGATTCGATCACTGAAAAGTTTTTTTCCTCTAAATTATCCGATCAATCCATCACTATCGTTCATTTCAAGTTTTCTGATATTATTAATCGCGTGTGATCGTCGATTTGAAAAGTTCCATCATTCGGATCTCTAGCTTCATTTATTTCTTATATTCGACTCGTTCAATGAAATCATTCATCTTAACGAAAAATTTTCCTTCAAAATTTTCTTCCATATCTGCAGAGGGTGACGAATTTCTAATAGAATCTCATGATTCCAAATTAAATTAAATTCATCGAATCCAGGACAAACAAATAATGAGTGCTCGGCCCTCAAAATGGAATTATTCGCCCATTACGCCGAAAAAACTATTCATTCGTTGCAGTGTGCATTGATGTCGTTATTGGTCACTCTTGTCCATTGTATTTGTCGCAATGATCCGAAAACTGCCGACTTACTGAAAGATCGCAATGTACCGATCCAATCAGTCTTTGATAAATTTTGCCTTTAGACTGCACACTTCTCAAGTTATCATCTTCAGCGATTGACATTTTCCAGCGATCGCTTTCTATTATGAGAACCTATCTTATGCTCCAAAACTTCCGAAAATTTTGTCAAATAAACTAATGAATTGCAGAAAAGTCTTCTTCTTTCGAAGATGTTAATTAATCATCACAGTTATTTACTGGCATTGGTTTTGTTACCGATTGCTTTGGCTGATAATTTGGTACTCTATTTTCCTGTGAATCCATCAGTGCCCGTACCTGAATCCCAACAAGACTTTGATCAAAATGCACCGCCAAGGTATGACGTTTACCGTACTCTTTGCACAATTGCATCTGAACTAGAATGGTAACTGAATGTGATTAATGTAATAAACGCATAATTATTGCGTTAGTGTTCAATAAATTATACTGAATATGATTAATTCAGGGTGTTATCTCGAGATCCGGATATGCCATCAACAGGTATTGTGTTCATCAAAAAGACAGCCAAGCATTCGGCACCAACTCAGTTCACTGGTGATTGGAAAGGTGAGTGCATGCAAACATTTCCATGTTGAACTGTGCTTAATATTTACAATCAAGTAGGCTCGAGAACATTTGATTAAACAAAGAGAAATTTATGCACGATTCATAATCCTCGGTAAGATGGAGATAAATAAGCTGCATTCCGAAACCCCAGTGAATGATATTGCCAAGCGTAGCTCCTTCAGATTTTAAGGCATTTTACTTTCCCAATCGATTCTCTGAAACTATACATCACTCCTCTCAAAAATTTTGAATCCCCATTCACTTTTATCCTAAATGTTTCTTCTCCAGTTTCGTCAAATACACAGACTGACTTCAATTCAAAATTTGTGATTGGTATTGCCTCTCATGGCCACTTTTTCCCGAATAATTTAACCATTGGGTTTCCCTATCTTCCTAGAGGCGTTTGCGCTCACCTGAGAGCCGTTCCGTTGTGCAGCCGTTATGTGTCATGCGGGCAACGTGACTGAAATTACAGATGTGTGTACTCATATCAAATAGATCTGATCTGTTCTCTGATAAGATTGCAGAAAGATTATTCCGATTTATTGCATCAACGTGAATTGATCTAGTGAATCATAACATTATGAAAATGTAGCATCTTGA